ATCGTCCCTGGCTGCAGCGGCTTCATCGACCCTTTGCTGCAAAGCCTTGGCATCCTCCCGGAGCCGATCCAGGCAAGCTACCGCCTCGTCGGCCGAGGCAGCCTTCTGCTCCAGCTCTTTCAAACGAGCTATCTCCCGGTACTGCCTCTTATGGCTCTCCATGAGCATAAAAGCACTCTGCAAAAAAAAAGGGCAAACCAAGACTCAGACAAATAACTCTACACGGACGACGAGAAAAATTACACATTACAAGGCAGAGAACTTACTTGGACGAGGAGGTCCATGCCGCCCTCGTACACCTTCACGTCCCCGAGCTTCTTGAGGTAAGCCCGATCTTTGGCTGGCATGGCTTGGGCCAGCACATCGTGGCCGAGGACGGCATCGTCAAACACACCCCCTCCGACAGGGTATTCCACCACCTTCTGGTAGGTGGCAGCGGCGATCTCCTTGCCAGCCCTCTTTGTCCGTGGCTCCTGGACGATAGGGAGCGATTGGGCGGCATCGCTTGGAGCAGCAGTAAGGTCCACGAGGGGACCACTATCGTCCACGCTCGGGACAGTCAGAGTACCGACTTCGGTAGCAGGGGAAGGAGACGGTGCTCTCTTCGTCTTCTTGGCGACGTTCAGGCCGGCCTCAGTCAATGTTTTCTGGCCGTCAGTGGCCGGCCTCTTCTTCTTTGATTGGGCAGGCTTTGGGGCCGCACCAGCAGTCGCCCCGCCTCCCTCGGCCGCGGCATGTCTGGCCGTCTCGGCCGCCTTGGCCTTAGCAATTGCCATGATGGAACGACGATCCATGACAAAATCTACACAAGGAAAAACAACAGATTAGCAAGGCAAAAGAACAAAGCATAAAGAAAAATAGCCGAAGAAATAATTACCATCGGCCTCAGCAGAAATGCCCAAATCCGGGCCGTCGGCCTCTTCAAAGGTGGTGGTCATCCTCGGCCAGAGTTGGATATCATCCTCCTTATCACCATACACATGGTATCTCATGAAGCCGAGGGCGGTCATCTTGTATTCAGTGATGTAATCCTTCACGCTCCTCGGCCCCCCTTCCAAGAAAGCCTCCACCTGAGCGTCCAAAATAGAGCTCTTCGGCGGGTCATGCAGATTAAACCTCCCGGTATGGCCGAGGGAGGGAAACTCGGTGCCACTCTCACCAAGGGATACAAAAACGAACTTGCTCTTCCACCCATGAATGGACGAAGGCAAGTCCGTGAAGCTCCTCTTCTTCGGCAGCTGTTGAAGAGTAGCATAGGCTGCACAGTTCTTGTGGCTTCCTCGGCCGATCTGGTACAAATTCATGAACAGGGCCGTCGTCGGCCTGTAGCCCAGCTCCTCACAACGGAGCAAAAACCCCACCATCAAAGAATAGCTGTTCGGCGTCAGCAAGGCCGGAGGAGCCCTACCATATCCAGGTATTCGGTGATGAAGGGATGAAGGGGAAACCTCAACCCCTTAGCGAAACTCATCGGGTATACTCCAAAGTATCCCGGTGGCGGAAGAAGAACATGGTCCGTCGGCCTGGGTGCCCTAACCCGCCCGAACGGCCCCACGTACATCTGGGCAACAAGGTAGTCGGCCGCGCTGCTCTCCGGCTTAATCAGGAAGATGTTGGTGAGATCGAGGTAGGAGATGCCCGGACCACTCTTCGGCCTCCTCACCCTCTTTGGCTTATCTGCTCCCTTCACGGCAGACACCGGCCTCGGGCAGGGAATGACAGCGGAAGTGGACGCCCCGTCCACCACTCGGGACGCAGCTGCGTCCTCACCTTTTGAAGATGAGGCGGACTCCTCGTCCTCGACTTCGTCGTCCACCGGCTCTTCGGATTTGTAGGAACTTAAGTGTTGTATCTCCTCCTCGAACTCCTCGAGCACCTCGTAGTCGAGTGACCTAGTGGAGGGCTGGTCGTCGTACGGATAGTAGTCTTCGTTCAAACTCTTCACCATAACTACTACTACGTGCCTAAGGAGGTTAACTTAGGATCTAAGGGTGTTCAAACACCTAACACTAGATCACTAGCCTAGGAAGCAAATTATGAAAAGTGCAGAAGATTGCGATGAACACTAACCTTGAACACGAAGAACACGAAGAACAAGCTTGGGAGTTTATCTCTCTAGAAAATTGGTCAGCACTTCGACAATTCAGAATGCAAATGAGATTTTTGGTCGGAGGGGGAGGGGTATTTATAGAACCCCCCACCCAATGGTCACTACACGTGGCACCCTCCCAATGGCCACATCAACGGCCACCAATGGGAGACCACCACATCACCAACGGGCCAAGCTACATGTCAACAGCCCACTGGCAAAACAGACTCTACGACCTACACACTTGCCGGCTTCACGAGTGCCAGCAAGCGCCCACAACGTCCTATTTGCTTGCCAGGTTCACAAACGCCAACAACAAGGAGACGACAACGGCCAGGAACGTATTGAACGCCCGTAACGACCACAGAACAAAAGGAACAAAGAGCCCACAGCCATCGGCTCCTCGTAATCACCCTTGATGATAACTCTCTACAAGCGATCTGCGCACAAGGGTTCTCCCACAGGGTTACCCTGGCCAGAAAATCGCCATGAGGGTTGGATTCAGGGGGACTACGGAGAGGCCGCTTCGACCAGGGACTCAAGCAACTCCTTCACCCCTCACACCCTTCGGCCTGAAGCAGTGGGGGACTGGGGGACTACATCGGCCTCAATAAAACAGAAAGGAACAATACAAAGAACATGAATGTAACCACAAAGCATGGCCACATCGTCCATGCATCAGAAGGGCTCCTCATCGGCCAGAGGCACATAACGTCATCAGCAACGGCCAACTGGCCACCTAAGGCAAGGACACTCATCTTCCTCCGCCAACAGCTAATCACTGATGGCCTCTTCGGCCAAGTACGCGAAGGCCAATCAGCGACGGCCAAAAGGAGTGCGCAAACACCCTCATCGGCCACCCAAAGGAAAGGACGCCATCGTCCTCAAAGCAAAGTTCAACCTCAGTGGCTTCATCGGCCCAAACATAAACTTCAACCGTCAACGTCCAGGAAAGGGAAAGCGTACCTTCAACGGCCACCATTGAAGCAGGACACTTAGCATCCCCAAATGAACACATCAAGGAAACAACGGCCTCCCCGCCCACAGCGAGGAGCAGGTAATGGCCAAGGCACAGAACAGGATCACCAAAATGGAAACAGCGCCAACGCCGCAACAGCTGACGGCCTGGGAATGCACGCATCGGCCAAAAGCACTAAAACACGGGAATCTACTCTCCTTCACTTCGTCTACGTCTCAGCTTAGAGAGTGGGGGACTCCTGATGGAGTATATGGGCCTGAGCCCCCGGACACACATACTCGGAAGAACAGAAAGCACAAGACACAGAGTGGCGCCCTCGTCGGCCAAGATGCCCCCGTCGGCCGAAAAGGTGCCAACTCAGATTATGGTCCTGAAGCCAAGGAACCCGGGTGCCCTCGTCGGCCGCGCCCTCGTCGGCCGTGCCCTCGTCGGCCACGCCCTCGTCGGCCACGAAGACTCCACAGAACCGGATTCTACACTTACTTATTTGTACAGCCCATTAGTGGCTTTGTATTCGGCCCAGTAGCGGTCCAGTTGTAAATGGGCCTCCCAAGCCCAAGCCTTGGGAGCCCAGCCCGTATTTTCTCTATAAATACTCCCCTTGGGAGTAGTTATAGGGGTTACAAATTCATTCTATTGAAGCATATTATTACACTTCTCTCTCTAGCTCTCACTTCTCTCTAGATATACTCTATCAAGTAGTATTTTCTTCCTCTATATTAATGCTGGGGAGTGTTGCTAAGATGACAAATAGTTAACATCTTGATATTAATTATAGTAGGATTCATCTCCTTTAATAATATTCTTCCTTGAATATTAATTAATTCCTATTCATATTTCATATTAATATTTTGAACATTACTTAAAGGATCAACTAGTTTTGTTTCATATATTAATTATTACTAGAAACAATCAACGAACCGATGGTTAATCGTTGATGGTTTCACAAGTAAGTAACTTCGGTTTATTAACGCACGGTCGTGGTTGTTAAACTTAAGAGGGATTAATTTTGTTGGTTAAATCGAAACCGTTGTTTTGAGGTTATCGATCTCAATTAATTTCATCAAGGAGTTAAGAGATTAAATGCTACTATCAAGTCGATATATGGCGGTGTTCTATACTTGACTAATAGTAAGGGTTATTAATGAACGGTCATTGTTAATAACTATCCTCGATGAATTGGATATACTCCTCGATTGAGTATTCGATAAGAAATAAGTTATAGATATAACAATGATCGACTAAAATATATCAACAAGTGGAAAGTAGCAATGCCAAGTCCTTTTTATCTTTGAATTAAATCACATATAAGTTGTTCATCTTAGTTCTTAATTAAATTAAATCACTCAATCCAAATCCCCCCTTTTTATTTACTTAATTCATTAAAAAGAGAATTATTCCTTTCCCTGTGGATACAAACTCTACTTCACTTATACTACGTATAAGTGTTAGTATCGAATTTATTTTGACGCACCGTGACAAAGCGCTCGTCAAATTTGGCGCCGTTGCCGGGGAAAGGCAATTAGTTTTTCTTTTTATTTAAGTTTAAGAAAAAGAAAAAAAATGATTCAAGTATAAAGATTTCTATTTCTTCTGAGCTTTGTAGTATATGGTTAAATATCGTTCACTGAATGAAATTACCTACCAATCAAACCCCGAAATAGAACTAGCTCTCGAGCGGTTGAAAAATAAATTCTCAAACACCGACTCGGGAGAATCCTCAAGTGCTAGTTCTCATTCTAGCGAGTCCGAAGAGCCAATAACTATGGCTCTTGAAACAAGAACGCTGAGGGAGCTCACAGCTCCGAACTTGAACCAACAACCGTTAGGTATTACTTTCCCTACACTCAACGAGGGTAATACATTTGAGCTTAAATCTGGGCTCATCCATCTACTTCCTTCATTCCATGGTCTACGAGGCGAGGACCCAAACAAACATATATCGGAATTCCATATTGTTTGCACAAGCATGTGCCCAAATGGAGTCAGCGAGGAGCAGATCAAGTGGAGGGCCTTTCCGTTCTCCCTAAAAGATACCACAAAAGATTGGGTATTCTATCTTCCTTCGAGAAGTATAGGTACATGGGCAGCCATGAAGAAAGCTTTCCTCGAAAGGTACTATCCTATCTCTGTCTCCTCATCTCTCAAAAAGCAAATCAGCAATGTGGAGCAGAAAGATGATGAATCGTTCTACGAATATTGGGAACGATTCAAGAAACTTTGTGCGAGCTGTCCATACCACGGCTATTCGGAGCAAGACCTCATCCTATACTTCTATGATGGTCTTTGCAATGATGATCGGCGGATGATCAATGCCGCATGTGGAGGAGGAATTGTAAACAAAACCCCTTCTCAAGCTAGGAATCTTATCTCGGAGTTGGCCGAGAATTGTAGACACTATGACCGGCGGTCATCAAAAAGAGTTATGGCGGCAGAATCTAACACCTCGTTGGAAAGTCAAGTGGCCGACTTGACTTCTTTGGTTAAATATTTTCTCTTAAATCCAAAAACAAAAGAAGTCAAGGTCTGCAGCATATGTTCAACACAAGGGCATCTCACCGATTCTTGCCCAACACTACAAGAGGAGAATCCCGAACAAGTCAACGCATTGGGGTTCCAAGGTCAAAGGAGGTACGATCGGCATGGCAACACATACAATCCAGGATGGAAAGATCATCCAAATTTAAGGTATGGAAATCCTCAACAACCAAATTCTTCTTCTCAACAATACAACCAACCCTCCCAAGGCCTAACTTCAAGCTCAAATATGTCCACTGAAGACATGATTCGAGCACTTACCATGAGTGTATCAACAATACAACAAAGTGTGTCCCAATTTCAAGAAACGACTAAATCTAGCATTCAAAATTTGGAAAACCAAATGAGCCAAATTTCGAGTGCTGTGAGCCGGCTCGAGGCAAAAGATTCGTGTAGACTCCCCTCTCAAACGGAGCAAAACCCAAGACAACATGTTAATGCAATCATGTTGATGAGTGGGACGACATTGAAAGAGGTGCATAAGGAAAAAGAGCAAGATAAAAAGGAGGTTGACCTTGAAGAAGACTTTCAACCGGAAGAGAGGACCATAAAAGCAAAGTTGCCACCATTGTCCTCATATGAACCACTACCTCCATTCCCCGAAGCACCGAAGGAAATAAGGAAGCTGGAGAAAGATGCTGACATGTATGAGACTTTCGCCAAATGTGAGGTAAACATTCCGTTCCTTAACTTAATTAAAAGTGTTCCCAGTTTTGCTAAATTTTTAAAAGAATTATGCACAATTAAAAGAAAAAGCAAATTAAAGGGAAAACAAAAGGTGGATGTTAGTGAACGTGTCTCGGCGATCTTTCAAAAGAAACTTCCCGAGAAATGTAGCGATCCAGGTATGTTCACAATCCCATGCAAAATAGGGGACACTTTATTTCCGAAGGCCTTGTTGGATTAAAGGACTTCGATCAATGTTATTCCATATTCGTTATACAAGTCTCTAAAACTTGGCCCAATGAATGAAACTGGTGTGGTAATCCAATTGGCGGATAGGTCTAGCACATACCCCAAGGGCGTCGTAGAGGACGTACTCGTAAAAGTTGAAAATCTGATTTTCCCCGTTGACTTCTACGTTCTTGAAATGGGAGATGACAATCAAACAACACCCATCCTCTTGGGTAGACCTTTTATAAAAACCGCAAAAACAAAAATAGACGTGTCAAATGGTTCATTAACTTTAGAGTTTGATGATCAAAAAGTAGAATTCAACATCTTTGATTCTACGAAAAAACAAATTAAAGACCAATCTCTTTGTTCTCTAAATATTTTTGAACCACAAACACCGAATGTTTTTGTTGAGAAAACAAAGCTGAGAAAATCACACTTTTTGAAAAAGAAGAACAAATTGAGCGTAGGGAATTGTTCAAATTTTCAAAAAGAGAATGGATCCCACCTGGGATTGAAGTGATAACAAGGAAGAAATCCCGGCCTTACTGGAGAAGGCCGATAAAGAAAGATGAAACAAGGGATGTTCACGATCCCACATAAAAGAAAATAAAATAAAAATAATGTCGTGCCGCGACATTAAATCAAGCGCTTCTTGGGAGGCAACCCAAGTTTTAATATTTATTTATTTATTTATTAAATCCGAATGTTTAAATTTAATTTTTCATTGAAATTTTGAGAGAATGGGAGAAAGGGAACTAACGATAATGATCGAGAAAGAAGAAAATTGTAGGTTTTAAAGAAAAGGAAGCATATTCGGTCAAGTATCACACCATATGCGGTCGAGTATAGGTGAAAAATGCAAATACTCACTCGAGTATCTCACATACTCAACCGGCTCAAAAACGGAAAAATTAGAGATACCCGATCAAGTATCACCAAATACTCGGTCGGGTATCAACAGAAAGGAAAATCTCAAAGCTACTGCCTCCGGACACATATCCTACAGTTGGGGACATACCCGGTCGAGTCACATGAATACTCGACCGAGTTCGGATACCTGGGATGAAGAAAAATTAAATGGAGCCATACTCGGTCGAGTATCACCCAATACTCGGTCGAGTATTAGCGGAAGAACATGTCCAAAAGTCTACTGTCACCGGAAAACTTTGAGCATTTAGAGACATACCCGGTCGAGTATCTAGCAATACTGGATCGGGTATGAGTGGAACACCCACTCTCAGAGCCTACTGCCAACGCGAAAAACATTCACTTCCAGACGTACCTGACCGAGTACGACGGTATACTCGGTCGAGTACACGACCTTTAATAAAAAAATAACCGGTCAAAATGCCCCATTCATCTTCTCCAACCCAAAAATCCCAACTCTCTCTCTACAAACCCCCATTGTCGATACTTCAAGCTTCAATTACTCCTCCAATACTCAACCAAATCCACCCAAACCACCAATAAAATTCTCCCCTCACTTTCCTCTACACACTCATACCCATCAATCCTACCCTCTCCCCATAAATTTGAAATCCGAAAACCCTACCTCCCCAATTCCAAAAATCCGATTTTTCAAGCTAAAAAGGGAAATTCATGGCTTCAAAAATAAATAGGGTCGAGTCATCTTCGGTAAGGACATCAGTTCCGGGCTACGAGCGAGTCAAATTCTCCAACGGAACACAACGAGCAAAATTCGTTCAACAAATTGAACGAGAGGTATACCCTTCTCGCTTCCTATGTCATGAGACTCTTAGGGCATTGAACATACTTGTGATAATGCATGCTGATAGAGTATATATCTAGAGAGAGGTGAGAGCTAGAGAGAGAAGTGCAAGTAAATGCTTCAATAAATGATTTTGTAACCCCTACAACTACCTCCAGAGGAAGTATTTATAGGAAAAATACGGGCTGGGCTCCCAAGCCTTGGGCTCCCAAGCCTTGGGCTTGGGAGGCCCATTTACAACTGGACCGCTATTGGGCCGAATACAATGTATGTAGAAATGACTAAGTATAAAATCCTTTTCTGGGGGCCGCTCGTGGATGATGAGGGCACGGCCGACGAGGGCACGGCCGACGAGGACCCGACCGACGAGGACCCGGCCGACGAGGTCACCCGGTTCTCCTGGCTTCTGGACCGTATCCTGAGTTAGGCTGCTTTCAGGCCGGCGGAGGTCATCTGGCCGACGAGGGTCCCACCAGGTGATCGTGGTACCCTCTGTTCTTCCGAGTATGTGGGCCATGGGGTTCAGGCCCATATACTCCATCACATGCTTTGTTTGAGAAGTTGGGTATGCTCTTGATATTTGGTATGCAATATAATTCCAATGAGGAAGTGATTTATGAATTTATGAGCTCGGCCGTTTTTACCTCAGATGAAGATGATTTTCTGGAGGACAAACTCACGTTTAGATTGTTCAATACTCAACGCTCAATTACTAAACGTGAGTTTGCAACTCATTTTGACATCCTTATCCCTAATGAGGGAAAAATATCGGATGACACAAGTTATGGACATAATATGTGGACAAAGATGACTGGAGAAATAAATGTGAGTTTCTCTAAACTCACAATAACTCATGTCCAACACCCGGTGTTCTGCCTGTTTTTGAAATTTTTGGCGAATAGCATTCTTGGGCGCCCAAACAACCATCACACAAGGATGAGTGATGTATGTTTGTTGACCGCGGCCCAATATGCATCTGCAACACCGTTTAACTTGTGCAATTTGATGTGGGCACCTCTCAAAAAGGAGTGCAATGCAAAAGGAAACATTTGGGTAGGGGGAGTAATTATGCATTTGGCTACAAAATTCGGTTATACGGATACTACACCTATAGCCAAATATTGTTTGATGAACTTTGATTATCTTGGCAATGCACTATGCACCTTCCATTCCCATTATGATGACAAAGGAAAAAACTACTACAAGTGGACCATTCATCCAAGGCCTTTCTGATACTTCACATTGCCCTCCGATTACCTACCGCCACTCATTTTCACCGAAGATATGAGCCATGTACGCTACTACTTATTACCCAATGCCATCCCTCCACACCTCCGAGATCCTGAAGACGATGTCCAAGCCGACCAACCAGAGGAACATCACGAAGCCATACATGAGGACATCCCCGACCCACCCCAAAACCCTCCTTCAACCGACTATTTCCAACAACTTCTTGCCGGATTCCAAAACATGGGGTGTCAATTTGACCAACTTAGGCAAGAAGTCGGTCATTATCGGGAGGAACAAAGCGCGGGATTTCAAAGATTGGAGGAGCAACGCCAAGCGGACAACCAACGGTATGAGGAAGATCACCGTAGGATGTACGGTCCGATGTACTCCTACATAGCTCATCAAGCATCGTATCATGCTATTACCACCGCACCTCCACCGCCCTCATGGTATGACCCCACTCAATGGGGTAGCTTTGGCGGATCAAGCTCCGGTGTTGGGGGCTATGATGGCGGCTTAGGAGGAGATACTACTATGGGCAACGGAGGTGATGGCGGCGGTTTCGGAGGCGGCTACTATGGTGGTGAAGGTGGGCACTAAGGATAGTGCCTTGGTCCAAGTGTGGGGGAGAAAGACTCATCTTTTGGTATGTTAAAATCCCTTTTTGTTTTTTTTACCTTGTACTAAGCATTATTTTCTTGAAATCTTTAATCTTCTCAAAAAAAATAAAATAAAAGAAAAAGAAATGCTAGTTAGGTTGAAAACCCAAAAACGGGCAATCTAAGCAATAAGGGCTTATAAAAAAAAATTGATGAGTGAGTTGGAAAGGAAGGAAAAATAATAAAGATGCTAGGATGAAAACCTGAAAAGGCTCCTAGGAAAAACGAGAGACATGAGAGAAAAATGTGTTTGTTTTGGCAGGACATCACCTCTTGAAGAAGAAGAAGAAAAAGAAGAGAAAGAAGAAGAACCAAAAGAGCGTAGAAGGTCAACAAACCCAAGAAAATGTTTGTATAACTCATTTGCAAACCTTGGTGATCTTATGTTTTTTTTATTGTTCTTGAATTTATGAGGATTTGTTGAAATGCTTGTGAACATTTGACTTTACTCGAGGACGAGTAAACAAACTAAGTGTGGGGGAGTTCATAAACATGTAATTCACATGTTTATGTTTGTATTTTTAATTAGTTTTTATTGATTGTTACTTTGGAAAATACACACTTTTGGTGTAATAGTTTAGTTTGTAAAAATATTTGTAATTTGTTTAGATTAGGATTATTCTGAGCTTAGGACAGGTCAAAATCATCCAAAGAATCAAAGGATGGATCCTAAAGACCAAAGAATGTGCAAAAGGGAGAAGATCAAATGAAGATTTTGAAATTCGTTCGGTACTCGGTCGAGTATTGCCAATACTCGGTTGAGTATTGACCGGATACGCTGGTCAAAATCAAATCTGGGAGCAAAAGAACGTGGCCGAATATTTGATGGAAATCCGGTCTCATACTCGACCGAGTATTACTCAATACTAGGTCGAGTATGTCTATATTTCACAATTTCCTGGAAACTACCTTTTGTGCTCGGTCGAGTATCTCATATAGTAGATCGAGTACAACACCCTGCCACCTCCAATTTACTATAAGTACACCCTTTTTCCTTCACATTAAGGATCCCTTCTTCCATACTCCTAAACTCAATTTAGAATAGCATTTCTTTATATTTTTCTAGCTATGTTTAGTCTCCAAATGAGGAGCTAAACTTCCATTCTTGGTGTTGCTCTTGAAGCTTGTTGATTATTAAAGTTGTGTGTTATTTTCTTAACTTCTTTCCTTGAATATTAATTAATAGTTCTTTCCTTAATACTATTTCTATATTAATGTTGGGAAGTGTTGCTAAGATGACAATTAGTTAACATCTTGACATTAGTTAGAGTAGTATTTTCTTCCTCTATATTAATGTTGGGGAGTGTTGCTAAGATGACAATTAGTTAACATCTTGATATTAATTATAGTAGGATTCATCTCCTTTAATAATATTCTTCCTTGAATATTAATTAATTCCTATTCATATTTCATATTAATATTTTGAACATTACTTAAAGGATCAACAAGTTTTGTTTCATATATTAATTATTACTAGAAACGATCAACGAACCGATGATTAATCATTGATGGTTTCACAAGTAAGTAACTTCGGTTTATTAATGCACGGTCATGGTTGATAAACTTAAGAGGTTATCGATCTAAATTGATTTCATCAAGGAGTTAAGAGATTAAATGCTACTATCAAGTCGGTATATGGCGGTGTTCTATACTTGATTAATAGTAAGGGTTATTAATGAACGGTCGTTGTTAATAACTATCCTCGATGAATTGGATATACTCCTTGATTGAGTATTCGAGAAGAAATAAGTTATAGATATAACAATGATCGACTAAAATATATCAACAAGTGGAAAGTAGCAATGCCAAGTCCTTTTTATCTTTGAATTAAATCACATATAAGTTGTTCATCTTAGTTCTTAATTAAATTAAATCACTCAATCCAAATCCCCCCTTTTTATTTACTTAATTCATTAAAAAGAGAATTATTCCTTTCCCTGTGTATACGAACTCTACTTCACCTATACTACGTATAAGTGTTCGTATCAAATTTATTTTGACGCACCGTGACAAAGTGCTCATCATATACTCTACTATTGGTCCAAAAAAGGAAGCTCGTAGGCTTTTGGGAAAGCTACGGAAGAACATTCAAGCAGGAATCAATAAAGTATACGAAAAGGGAAAGTTGCAAAGGAGGTTTAGTTGCCATAAATAGCTTATCTGTCATTTGGAATTTGACTTTCCTTTCAATAGCTTATCAATAAAAATATCTAATTAATTACAACATGAATACGAAATTAAATACATAATTAAACATCACATTAAATGTTTGACCGTTACTCTTTCTGGGTGGTAGGTCAGCCCGGTTGGCAAGCTTGACACTTGAGCTCCCTCTCCGCCGGGCTAGTAGGTAGGCTACAGGCTTGGGTTTGGGCTTGTTGGCTCAAGTCATGGACTTGGACTCATGTGTCTAAGTTTGGGGCTTAGCCGATTAGGCTCTGAGCTTAGTCGTCCCATAACCCCATCATGAGTCCCCCCACTCCCCTAGTCAAGTAGTAGACTCGGCTAAGAGGGAGTAGTCCAAGTAAGTTGCCTTTCTCCGAGGCTAGATAATCTCCGCCCTTGTCCATGTCGGGGAGGAGCCTCATTAAAACCCTTCATTAGGAAAAAACCCAATGGGAAAAATGCTAATGGAGGGAAAAAGAGTACACTTGACGCCCCCAAGATGAAGCAAGGTGTGAAATCATCAGCCTTTATTGCAATGGTCACCATCTGCGAAGAGGATGGCTAAGATCGACGGTCATCTTGTCGAGCTCGAGCTCATCAACCTCGTCCTTTGTTTCCTTAAAGACAGTCAGTCCCTCAGTCCCCCACTCCTTGAGGCGAGTGGAGTAGAGTCGTCTTTATTTAGTCGTACCTACACATAAAAGCAACAAGTGTAGAACATGATGTTTGGCCTTGGTGTCGAACCGTTCTTAATGAGTAAGTGAGTCGGACTCACTACTCGAAAAGAGTGGCATCAAGTTCCCAAGTTAGGCTTCAACCCAGCCTTTGAAAGAAAGATTGAATCTGCGAGCGATGCTTCGAATAGAAAATCTAACCCCCCAAAAAATAAAATATATCAGCCCTTTCGAGAAATATGAATGCTAATAAAGTGACAAAATTGCTCGAAAGAGTGTGGCTCTAGGCCCTAACAAGACTAGTACTAGGATGGGTGACCCCCTAGGAAGTCCTCGTGTTGCACTTCCCCTCCTTGATGGGCTTGATCAGTTGGACTGGCTCAAGCTCTAGTTGTTGCCCACTGATCAGGGTGGCCTGGCGGGACAATGGACATGGGTTTGGGCCTGCTGATCCAGGTCGTGGGCCTTGACTCGCGGGTCCAGGTTCGGGGCCTAGGATGATTAGGCTTTAGGCCTATTTAGGCCTAGTCCTATAACACCATCATCTACCAAATTGATCTAGAAATAACTTGTTATCATAAAAGGTTAAAATCTTACTAAGCGATTGTCTCCTAGGCTTTTCTAGGGTATGGTTTTCTGGTGGTGTTTCAAACACTTCGTTGCTGGCATTTGTTCGGATTTTTCTGGGAGTGAGCATGAGTATTACTTGTGGTTTTGGAAAACTTGTGACGGTCCATGTGTTGTTTGATATTGTAAAGGTAGGTCAACCAAGCACCATACTTTTTATGGAGAATAAATTGCAAAGGAATTGCATAGAAGAGGTGATCAGAGACCTAGGGGTTTTGAAAAGCTGAGTCTGCAATAATGAGGGCAAAGCGATGGGTTACTATTGGGATGGAGGGATGACATAGAGGTGGAAGTGCTCGAATGGAGCAGGGATTTCATAGACAACAAAGTTTGTTTACCCATTACATAGCAATCCTTGAGACTTACCAGGTTTTATGGATACTTGGAGATTAGTCGCCAAAGTGATGCTTGGACACTTCTCTGAAGACTAGCGGGAAACTTTTCTTTAGCATGGATGGTGATAGGCGATGTCAATGACATGTACATTATGTTAGTCATAGGGAAGAAAGGCAGAGTGTCACGTCCCAGTAGAAGTTTGTAAGCAAAGATTGTCTTGGTTATGGGCCAAGGCAGATTGGTGTAGCTGTCTGGAATTCTTGAGAGTTCGTTCTATTTATCTTACAGTAATACCCCAAGAATTTTGACCAAGAAGTTTAAAACTATGATTTATGTCGTTTAGATGACATCTATATAGTTTATTATGTTTGGTTTAACATATGAGACCAAGGGGAGGTCCAAGTGTGGAAGTAACGTAGAAAAATTCGAGTGTTGGGGTCATCGAGAGTCATGCACGATGTGCATGCGAGTTTCAGGATTATGTAGTTGCACATGGGTACGCACGGCGCGTGTACCGTCGTGCGGCTAGAAGTTTAGCCGCATGAGTGCCCGTGCGGTGCCGCATACGGTGTGCGCACATCGTGAGCTAGACCTAGACATGCACCCCTCCTAGTATGCGCGTCGCGCGCACGACGTGCGGACCTCGCGCGCACAACGTGAGCATGCGGTTTTAGTCCAATTCGCCCCAATTTCGATATGTCACTATATATGACCCCTTTCTATGAATTTTTTCCAGTCTTAAAACTATAGAATTGACTCCCCATACCTGTTTTATTCAATCTATTCATTTCTAATCCATCAAAGATATATTTTGAAGCCAAGAAAATGCTAATTCAATTAAATCTTCTAGTAAGTGCATTTCTACCGATTCTTCTGATTTCTTCTATTTTTTTCAATTTTTCTCTCCTAAATTGTAAGCCCAGAACTCTAAGAATTACTAGGGTCATGTGTGTGATCTCTCAAGTTAGGATTGACGTTTGATTTCATTGTGATCCTTGAGGTAAGTACCAATGTTGATCAAAATTAGTATTTTGTTCATATTATGATTTAAGTAGGGTTTGAGCTATGATTTGAGATTATTTATGAAATTTTATGTCGTAATTCGGCTATGTTAAACTTATATGAGTATGCTATTATGTTTTGGGAATTTAGAATTATGTTAATTTTGAGTAAATTAATTAATTTAATTTACTATAGCCAAAATTGTGAATTGTGATAAATTGATATTATTATTGGAGAATTGTGGAGATTATCTTGAGACAAATTATATATTTTTGAATGTATAATTTGGTACAAATTTTACATATATATTATGAAGTTAGAACTATCCGTATTGAATTATTTTGAAAATGGGATTAAATACTATTTTGGAACACAGTTTTGGGGTAAACCCAATTTTTTGAACTATAACATTGAATTTGATATGTTACGCATATAATTTTTGGATCTGAATATGATATACATATTTTGAGAAAGTATTTGAGTCCGAGGTCAAACTAAAATTTATTAAACTATGAACAACGATTTCATAATTGTTAATGTCCCATGGAGAAACCTGAGATGCTTTTGGGTTAGGGTTGCCATTACCTTTGGTGTGGACTATTTGTGACTTCTGAGTGATTCGGTAGACATTCCGGACACTAGGGTGTAATCACCCATCTTCTTGATGACTGCAGAAGTAGTTCCTAATTCGTTTTATGAGGATTCATTCTAATTTGTGAGTAGTAGTTAATAGAAACATATCCTGATTACTTAGACCTCTTACTACTCGAAGGTCTTAAATCCCTTTTATAGGATGTTCACACTTAAGGTATATGTCTAGCTCTTAAGTATTTGTTATATGTGGGATCCGGAATTTCGGGGTGAGTCATGGGTGCTGCTAGGGATGGACTGGGCCAGGCCGAACCGGCCCGGAACCGAACCGGCCCTGTACTGTTTGGGCCCGGACCGGACCGGGACCGGTTGGCCGGTTCCGGGCTTTTAGCCCGTTTGAACGGGTCGGCCGGGCCAGGCTCGGGCCCAGTTTTGGGCGAACCGGTCGGGGCGGTTCGGGCTGGGCCCGGGTCTTTTTTTTTGTTTTTTCAATTTTTTTCTTTTCCTAGGCTAGGGCTGAGTGTTTTGGGGAGGTTTTGGGGGTGGGGGTGAGGGGGGGGGGGTCGGGGGATAACAAGAAAGCAAAAAAAAAAATAGACATCGAACCGGGCCCGGCCCGGCTCGGCCCGGTTCGGTTAGGACCGGCCCGGTCCGGTTAGGCCCGGACCCGGTATCAACCCGGGCCGGTTCCGGGCCCATGAATTTGCAAAAAAAAGCCCGCTCGGGCCCGGCCCGGAACCGGAACCGGACCGGCCCAGGTCCATCTCTAGGTGCTGCAGTGACTTATGTATTCGCTAAGCTC